AAAATCTGACCATTATCATCTCTTGATCTTTGTTTTGATATCTTCGACAACAACTTGGTTTTCAAGAACGTCTCTTGTTGCTGCTACACCTCGATCACAGCTACCACCATCATCAAGTGATGCCACCGAAAGAAGAAGCAAAGAAGGAGAAAGAAAAGGAGGAGAAGAAAGAGGAAGGGGCCAAAAAGGATGAGGCAAAAAAAGAAGCCAAGAAAGAGGAGAAAAAAGAAGAATCCAAGAAGGAAGATGCCAAGAAAGAAAAGGAGGCCAAAAAGGAAGACAAGAAGGAAGAGGCCAAGAAGGAGGAGGGCAAGAAAGAGGAGGCCAAAAAAGAGGAGAAAAAGAAGGAAGGCGGCAAGGAAAAAACGGAAAACGGCAAAGGCGGCGGCCCAAAGAAGACGGTGTACAAGGGCAAGGCCCCCGGCTGGCTGAAGGACCCCAAGTTCCTCTACAGCGACAACAAAGTGCAGGAGCTGGTGAAGAAGGCGCCGCCGGCGGCGGAGGTGCCCGGAGTGGCCGGCGGCCCTGACGGCCTGAAGAGCCAGGGCAAGCGACCGCAGCACCTCGCCAAGGTCCACTTCAAACCCAGTGAGGCGGTGGCCAAGGAGGCGGTCAAGGTGCACGAGCTGCTCGACAAGATGGTCGTCAAGGCGAAGGAAGGTGGTGGTGGGGGAGGCAGTAAAGAGAGCAGCAAAAAGGCGGAAAAGTCAAAGGAGGCGAAGAAGGAGGAAGGGGCGAAGAAGGAGGAATCGAAGAAGGAGGCAAAGAAAGAGGGAGGAGGTAAAGAGGAGAAGAAGGAGGACAAAAAGGAGGAGAAAAAGGAAGACAAAAAGGAAGAGAAGAAAGAAGAGAAGAAAGAGGAAAAGAAGGAGGAAAAGAAAGAAGAAAAGAAGGAGGATGCAAAAAAGGAGGACAAGAAGGAGGAAGCAAAGAAGGAAAAGTCCAAAGGATAGCCGCCGATTCTCGTCTAATTCTCCTTTTCTCTCGACCACTTCCATTTCCCTTCTGTTTTGATCTGTTGACAATAAACACACAACCCACCCACACCTTCACTTGGAAAATTGAAACAAATGTGTGTTTGTTGTGTATTGTGTGTATGCAAAGTTGACTGACGTTTAAACATCACTAATATAACAATTACGTTGTAGGATATAGACTAAACTCATTATGGAGAACAGCGAGCCACCTCACTGGCAACGCCCTCTGCGTAGATGGCCACCTCCAGCACTTTCTTCGTCTCCGCAGTGACGGTGATCATTCTTCGGTGGGGAAAATCGCTGATCACGCCTACCTCACTCAACTTTCCACCAGCGCCTGCATCAAAGCGGAAGAGCAAGTCGCCAGCTTTGACCTGCTCTACCGGGACATGCTGGCACTGGGCGTCCGCCCATTGGGCGTCAGTCGTGCGGCCAATCGCCCAGCCGGTGGCCTGGAAAACGGCATACTGCGCCAGACCGGTGCTGTCAAAGCCAACCACTGAAGTGGTATTGGCTGCAGTCACGCCCACCGA